GGAAAAAAAGCCTAAGTCCAGTGCATGACAAGAGATAGCAATAAGGGTGCTACACATTTTTAGATGACATTGACTTTCTCAGGATTCCTGAGGAATTCTGATATTCAGTCTGTTTTTCCATCTTCTTTTACCAATTTTAGGGTAACAGTATTTATTATCTGTGGGCATGGAACCAGCTTTTAACCAACGACTCAGAAAAAAGAAACGTACCCACACGCATATGCAGGCACCGACAAAAATGGATCTTTTCTATTAGCGATGGCTCTCAAGAGATAAGAAAACAGACTTGTGTAGGTGATTAAGTGTGATAATAGGAAAGGCTGCAAGACAGTTGCTTAAGAAACAAGAACAACAAAGGAATAAACTAGTGCAGGCATCACCGGAGCTGGAATGACATTGTACTGTGTACTACGTTCCCATGGCAACTGGCCATAGGAAGATGAATGTTTCATATTCACTGTGCTCTGCAGTACATGTCTATAAATCAAACTTGCATAAAAGAGCATAAGATTTCTTCTGTGGGGTGGCTCTCCAGACCAGGGTATTTTCTTCCTACTAGAAAATTACACGAAAAAATGCCAGACAATAAGGTCATTTTTAGTATGGAAAGACCTAATATATACAAAAGTACTAAAATGCCTGTAGTGTGTGATCCTATCAAATGAAGGATATAGCAGCATAAAATGCACATCATGAACGCCTTTCTTTCTTAAGACCTGCTCTAAGCTTGCTAGCTCTAAAAACTGTATGAGACTTAGCTGTCCACTTTTGCTTTTTAAGACATTTTTCATAATTTGTTAGTTCATTCACATGTGATTCATTTTCAGCTTATTTATTTTACCACGTCCATTATTCTAGTTTAAGGATTTAACATATAGATACCTATCTTTCTATAGAAATGATACAGCAAAGACAAATAGTTTCTTAGCAGCAGTAATTAATAATATTGTGCAATTCCCTTAGCTAACGTTTTTATTCTCAATGGAAGAAAACACTACTGTTTTTTTATTTTCTTAAAAAATTTGAATCTTAACTTTAAAAACATGTTCATTTACAGAGAACAAAAAATCACAAATCATTATTACAAAAGGTATGTCACATTTCAGATCTATGTTCCCAAATGCAGAACAGCCTTTTTATAAAGAAATTCTTTTGTATTTTAGCCATTTAGAAAAGACACACCAATAAAGAACTTAGCATCAAACCATTTACCATACTAAGTACTTCTGCAATTCCTCTGTCAGTCATCAGTCGAGTTTTTATGGTACAGTGGCATTTTAATCAGATGCACATCAGCTACATGATAAGCTTTGGAGCATACTGTTCAATGTAAGCACAATATTAGCTTGGAAACACTAAAAAGTTACAATAGCTTAAAAATAAAATCAGCCAAAATTATGGTCAGTTAGTTCAATCAAATCAAATTGAAAACACATCTTGGAAAACTTTAGCAACAACTAACTATGCAGGGTATTACTGATGTATGTAAGAAATTAATCCATTAGGAGTGCCTACATTAAATCAAATATTATTTCGACAGTATGAGATGAGAATGCATTTGCATTGGCCCTATTTTCATGCCATAAGAAAGAAAAAACCCTGCCCACTTACTATGCTAAGAACCACTGCAAAATCTTATTTCTTTCATAGAACATAAATGCTCACTTGTATACAATGCAAACAGCGGCAAAATTAAGTATTTATGACTTTAAGATAATGACTCAGTGCTGAGAAATACAAGCCTAGTAAGACAGCAGGGGCCCTGCGGAATAGAGCGAGCGGGCACGTAGGGTAGAGGAGTATCGGATGGGATGGTAAGGCCCGGGTACAGGCTGACTCTGGCAGACTAAGGTGTAAACAACTCAGGGGTAAATTACAGAGTTGCAGCTCTGGTACTGAACAACGCTGAGTTTAGGAACAACAAAAATAGCAACATATCTATACATCTTGTAAGATGTATGTGTGCCAGATACAGTAAATTTGGATGTACCTGGATCCTAGAGTGAGAAATCATCAGTACGAACATCACACACCTGCTTGTGAGGACAGGGGACACGCGGGACTGAAGCTGCAGCCTCGGGACCGGAGGAGGAGTGAGAATTACACCAGGGAAGGGCTGGGTGCTCGGGAGTGTGCGCACAACTAACTTAACTCCATGCCTACTGAGACCCCGTTCTTGCAATATTGTATTGTTTTCTTTTTTCTTTCCTTTTCTGCAATAATTAGATTTGGACTAATAATAATTCTTCATTTACAGCACTGATATTTCAGTAATACTAACAATAAATTCTTGACTTTAGATATCAGTGAGTCTTTGCCGTAGCCATAACAAGATAATTTGTGTAACAGTTGTTGTACAGATAGGTTAGAAAATAATCCTTACTCTACCTGGCTTTGTGCTATATTAAACATTTTAACTCTATTTTAGCATTAATAAAATATGTGAACGGTAAATGAAGGAATTATATTTTAAAGTCCCAAGTTTGAGAAAATTGATGCAAAGTTTATGGATGCCTATTAAGGGCACACCTACAAATGAAGTAATTACATATCCAAAACCTGCAGTATTGTAACCTTGGTGTAGGACTCTTGTATTTTGCTTGTATATGTATTATGTGAGATATTCAGAGCTCGAGGATTGAAAGTGGATTTGAATATCTTATCCTGAATATTACATTTACAGTAGGACCTTACTTTCCTACATATTATAAGCAAATGAAAACAGCTAACTCATGGTCAGATGGAAGAGATGACTTTGAAAAGTGATTCACTCAAAAGCATTTTCGTTTGGCATGTGTTGGTATCTCAAATTCTAATTATTTAAGTTTTAAATATTTAGAATGAATCTACAGAAAGCTAAATGATTTCAGCAGTGTCCTTCATTCTTAATGCATCAAATACTGATGTTTTCCCTTCTTGAGTTTTACATAGCACGAATATCTTTGTTTTCATTTTTATATCAAACAGTATGTTGAGAATTACGCTCAGTAGCAGAAAATAATTCCCTACTCTGCATTCCATACTCTACTCTCCCTTTTAAATTCCTTTTTCTTAAACCTATGTGGCACTAACTAAAGGCTTAGAGGCTCCCATAACATTTTACTTTCTAAAAGTATAATAAAATAATATATCCAACAGTATAATACAAAGCTATAAAAAACCAAAGGTGCCCACCAGTACATGAAGTGGTTTAGAGATAGGATCTCAATTACACTGAAAAATCTATAAATAAACAGAAGTTGTTATTCATATGACAATTTAAGAAATTGTCATATAGACAATTCTCTATAGACTTGACTGCTACATGTTGCATTAACTGCTAAAGAAAAATAGGTTTTGAGAAACTCTTTTACAATATGAAGCTAATGCTAAATATAATTGATAATTCTTAAAACAAGAAAAATAATAAAACAATACATTAAATACACAAAATAAAGCAACATGAGCAGCAATTGCATATGCTTTCTTGACCTAAAAAGCATTAATTAATCTCAGGACAGAACATCAGGCCCTTCATAGCAGTTCTTAGAATAACACACATTAATGGGTAAAAGGATAGTGCCTCAAGGTGCTCTGCTTGGATTTCCATTTCTGAACAAAGGACCCCAAAAGGACAGTAAAATCACTTGGAGATCATAAGAAAAACATATCACACAGCTTTTCAAAGCTGTGGAGGGCATGAATACGAACATTTCTTTCCTTTTTTTGGAATGATGTGTGTTGTGCAATTTTTGTAATATAGTGCATTGTAAACCGTATTTATGTTTAACAAAATCTGTATGCCTCACATCAGTCTGATAATACATTTAAGTATTACTTACAGACTTTGTTGCAACAATCTCTCTTGTTTAAAATGTCCTAAAACAACCTTCTTAAAATAATTACTTTCCTCAAAATGCATTATATCTTTAGAGCAGAGAGGCATGAGGATCATCTAAGACACCTAAGTTTGACTTTTGTTATCTCACATTCCCAGACTTAAAGATGCACATACCTACTCTTGTCACCTAAAATGTTTAAATACGCCGTGTACATACAAGAAAGAAAACTTTTCCCATACCCTCCAAAAATCCAAGCCCACAAAATCACCATCACATTACTACAGGTCATCTTAACCTAATCTGTAGTATATCAATAAAGTTCAGACCAGATACTGCCTGTAATCTCAACTTCATATTACATGATGCCATACAACTCTCTTGTCATTATTTCTGAGTAACGTGAAGGTGCTTCTTAATAAATAGCCTATAAAATTAGAAAATTATTGAGCCCTCAGAAAACAAACAATTTTCCAGCCTTGGAGCTGAACTCGTACATTGTTCATATCAGTTTGTATGGAATTAACATCCCTCACACAACTGTATGCTTGAAAAATGCATTAAAATGACTATCTTTTAAAGATGGTGCTCAACAAGCTACCCGATGCAATAGCAGGGGAATCCTTTCAATGACCGAGCTGCTTCCAGCAAACAATTCATCCCACCAAAAGGAAGTTTAACACCTTTCAAGGCAATGTGTTCCAAAACACTTTTGAAAGTGTCCACTTGCAACCATAGAGGGAGATCATTTTTTTTTTTACAATCTACAAATTACTCTTTCAAATTCTACCCTTTCATGCATGGGCCAAATTTCACTTACAGAAAATTCCACCAATAGTATCTGTTACAACATGCATACAGTTGCAACTCTGAATTCTTCAAGAGACAGGTCCTATATGCTGATTTTCCTGACTACGTGAGTAAAATGTCAAAGTAAATAATTTTAGGCTCAGGTTACCAATCATTTTCCACATTTGGTAATATTTAATGGATTTTGCACTATTTATTACAGATGCTGGGCATATTCCTTTTCTTGTAAAGTATATAAGGACACAGACACAGTAATGTGCTGAAGCTTGTATCTTTTACTGCATGACAGAATCTATCTGCATGACAGATTTCAATTAACTACAATATATGCAACAAAAGATCTAAGAATAAGGAACTTTCTGTTAATCTTACCTGAAGGCTTCAACTACAATTCTTTCAGATAATTTGGGAGAAACTGAATGGAAGGCTTTCTTGAAGTCTTCTAAAGTCAAAAATCTTCTGCCTTTTAAATCCAGATTAGAAAAGAAAAATAATACAAATTATTTCTTTAAGAAATTAATAATAAATACATCTATTTTATTTGTTACTTCTAATATGCTTACATCTTCTTTAAAGTTACCGTATTTGCATGTAAGGAAATGGCTACATTAAAGGGAATGGATGAAGGATCTATAAAGGATTTTATACTACCAATACCTTTGTGCCACTGTGAACTCTGTTCAAAAGCACTGCGCCTAAAACTCTCATATTTAAAAGCTTTAGTTTTAGAAATTATGATTTTGAATACAAAATTTCACATGTGAAACTTTCAAAATACAGACTCTAAAATAATCAAAATTGCACTCCAAAACTACCATTTATTGGGATCTTTGTTAGCTAGTTTTCGGAGCACTGTTTCAAAAAACTTTCTTTCACAAAGTAATTTTCCTTCTGATTAATCTTATTGCAAAGTTAACCTCTTAAATATGCTTTAGCAGAATAATATCATATGATCACCTTGTCTGTCAATTTCCAGATCCTGAAAAATAAAGTACCTCATTTTTTGTGCAACAAACAGCAAGACAAATAAAAGAATTTAGAGCACTTGAAATGGTTAAATTCCTTGAAATAACTCTCTTTAAGTATTAACACTTAAAAAGTTACTTTTAGTCTCTTGCAACTTCAGTTGCAAAAATCTACAATGGATGCCTATCCAAACATCCCAGTATCCAATCTGCCACACGTTGCCTTTCCACTTTCTGAGGGCCACAGACCTACTGTATGGTAGGGAAAAACATACAGAGGATAATCTGAATGCTATGTATCTGTTGGCTCAGAAGCTACTGATGTTCTCCCTTTCTTAATCATAAGAAGAGATCATCTTTGAATTAAAAAGCACCACCACATCTACTTCTCACCAAGAACGGAAGAAAATCCTTGTTGCTTTGGTTTCCCTTCCTTGGGCTATCATGATGGGTAAAAAGCTTTGCAGCCATCACCAGGCACAGAAATCTGCAGAGTATGTGGCCCAAACTAATGAGTGCAGATAGCAGAATATCAGAGTGGCAGAAATAATAATGAGAGGTAGCAGAAGCCAAAAGGTATGGGGAATGCCTAGAAATTTGTTTTAATTGCTGGAGAAGCTCATAGCACAACAGACAACTCATAACTACTGCCTAGAACCCTGCAGCTTGCTGATTCTGGCTTTGTTAATAGAAACATTATCAAGATCTTTTTATTGTCTTATTTTGTTACTTCACTTTGCAGCATTAGGGGCACTCTTTACCCTCATTTTACTCCCTTGAAATATTCTATTTGGCTTATTTGTTTTAGATTTAAATCAATACTCAAAGCATTTAGCAGAGGAGAAAAAAAAGTCACCTTGCATGTCGAAAGCTGAGACTATGTGCTTTATTTCATTACTGAATAGCTGCACAACCTTCTTTGTGCTCATGAAATCTAAAATCTTTTTCAGTAATATACCTAGAAAATGGTGGAAAAAGGAAAATATAAATAAATCTCATTGCCAAAAAAAAGCTCATTTTTTTTTCTCCTTAAAAATATGCAAATAACTATGAATAGTTTTAATTTTATAAACACAAAAATAAAAATGGAAATAATGGTTCTCAAAGTTAGCTCACACAAACATTTCAGTATCTTTTAAATTGGAGTGCTTCTGTTTACTTTTCCTTCTTGCTAGCCATCTCATCTTTGTTTAGACCCAAGAGAAACATAAACTTTCCTAAGTCAACAACACTCACACGCCCTTGATAAAGCTACACAGGACACTGCATAAACACTGTACTTGCTATCATGCCCAGCACTGAGTGAAGGCTCCGAGATGGCCTATAGACTCAGATACAATTTCCTAATAAAACTGAATGGTAAAACTGGGTTAGTTATTCCTCTTGTGTAATGTTTGAAACTCTTCATATGTACACTTATTTCTTTTTTTTAATGAACTGAAAATGAAAGAACTTGAAATACAAACCTATTTTTTAAGTTTTGCTAAATATCCCTTTATTTTTTCAAAAAAAAGGAAAAATTAAGAAAGAAAAATCTGCCTCCAAAACCTGCCTCCCCATGAAATGCGCAAAAATCTTAAAATCAGAATTTCTGAAGAAAGAACTTTTTGGCAAAAATAAATGTAGCTTCTGTTCAAAATTTAAACAGACTAATATTTTTCCTTTTTTTCTTTTTAATAGGTACTTTATGCTTATTGTGAACAATTCAGTTTTCTTCAGACCACAGTATGACTGCAATTTTATTTATCAAATAATATAGCAAAAGCTCTGCATTTCTCTCTCTTTTGATGTATTCATATTCTGTTCTTCTTGCAGCGATTCAAAAGCGCAGTTCCTTCAGCTCCACCTGCTGTCAATTCAAATCTTAAACTGCAAGTGTATGGATTTCCAGTGTTTCATTCCGGATTTCTTATTGAAAAAAAAAAAATCAAACATTAAGAACTATTACACTCTCAGTTTCCAGGATTACAAAGACATGCTGATTTGAACTGCTAGGCTCTGTACATGCACAATTTCTTTAATAACAGAGTTGCTTAAACATACTGAACCTGCCTGCATGAACAGCTTTCCATTCAACTGGATAACTATGGAAGATAAACCACAAAAAGCAACACAAGCTTTCCATCCATTCATTTTTCTCTTTCAGTGTAACTTATGAGCCCAGAAAATTATAGTATACAATTTTCCTTTTCTAGACTGACTCCTGTAATACAGTGCCGCCTATTCATTGATCTTTGGGAGCTAGTGATTTATGCACTACTAATACAAGCTGTAAGACCATCTAAACACACAAAAAAGATAATCTTGAAAAAAAAAAAAAGAAGCAATCAAGCCAGTTAGTAATAAATTCATAATATGACTTATGTGCTAGTTCACTATTTTAAGATCAGATATTCATTCATATGTGGTTGTTCTCTTGAAAAAAAAATCCAACTGAAGCGCTTGATCGTTATTTTTGCCCAAATAAAAGATTTAAAAGCAAGAGTGTTGTTTAATAACTCTTTTTTTTTTGGTGTCAATGCTAGAACAAACAGATCCAACCTTCATATCACTGTTAAACTGTATCAATACAATCATTTGTGAAGTCACATGGCAAAAAGGATCAGGAAACTTACTGTTAATGACATATTTTTTTTGCCGCATTGTTTTTTTTCTGCATGAATCAGTTCTTCAGTATGATTTGACACATGGCCCCACAAGCAGATGCATTGACACAACTGAGAGGGCAGCACAAAGATAGCAATAAACAAGAGCTGTATAAGTAGAAACGCTGTTGCAGAAAAAAATATTCAGTGGACTGTGGTGTAAGATGCCAATACTTCGCTAGGAACCCACTGGGACAGTATCAAAAAAAATGATAAATCCTTTTTAGTTACTTGACAACTGAACACTACAAATTACCAATTACTTCTTTGTATCCTCATCACTATTTATATATAATGCTATTAAAAGGTCCACTTTGAGAAGAATAAGTTCAAAAGTAAATTACAAAACTATCACAAGTATTTCAAAACTACATGAAATTCTCCAATCCTGTTTAACATCTTGGGCAGCTCATTTATTGGCAATCTACACCAGGTTCTTCCTCAGGCTCTTTAGAGTCTAAGCTATTGATTTATTAAAATTATGAATGAAAAGAATTAGAAATCATTGACAGCTCAGTCCTTGTGTATTACCCAAATGTTCAGGGTGCACACAAGACACTGCTGAATCCACTTCCATCCGGAAGAGATGAAACAAACCACGGCGTTATCAGTCTGAACTCCTACACAGTTTCCATTTTGTATTAATAGTTTGTGACTTAACTGAATTTTGATATCATAACTTTGCATGTCTACTGTAAAATTGTCTGTGGCATTTAAGAAAGATTTTGTTTTAATTTTACAAAAATTCTTCCTTGCCAAGTAAATTAGATATATCAGAGAGCCTAACAAAATCCTAATCATGAGCCCAATTTTAAACTCAGTATACTAAACAAGTATGTTTAACTTTACACAGGTAGGAGCTGAATCAGACAAAAAACCCTATGTAATAAGCATTTTTGGTTGTTTTTCAGCATCCACATTTGTGATGTCCTTGAAACAAAGAGGTTTGTCTCAGTAGTCAGAGTAGAAACAAAGCATTTCCTCAAAAGTAGTTTAAGATTCATATGGTAAAATTGTGCAAAACATTTTATTTTAAAAAAAGAGAGGTAAGAGATTAAAGAAATGGAAATGAAACAATAAAATGTTTGCATCATCCAATTTCCCCCACAACCATCCCGAAGCCAGTCTATTATTGTTTGATATTATGTGGCATGTAGCTCCTTTACTGCCTTTCATGAGGATCTTACTCATTTTTTTCCTCATAGTAACACGGGAACGATGCTAACATGTTTATGCAAGTAAAATGTCAGACACGTTCCTGGCGGCTGCAGTGAGGCAGGCAGGAGAGCAGCTGGGGTTCCCCAGGCCGCAGGTGCCCAGCCCCGGGCAGCATGGGCCAAGCTCCCATGTCCCGGTAGGAGCACACGGAGCTGGGGCACGGAAACCTGGACACGCTTCGGGCCTGGCGCAGCGGGGCCTTCCAAGCACAGCTCCGAGCGAAACTTTGGCCGGGACAACGACACAGAAACATCTCAATGAGGTGACTTTTGAGCTATTTTTGATATAGTTTACATCAGCCAACAGATTGTTCTGCTTAAACTGCTACTCCTCTAGTACCCTTTTTGTTTGAAACAGTTAAGACCCAAATGTGCACTTGTCAAGCTGAGTGGTTATCGATACCAGAGCACTTTAGACCAATTCAAATACTTGGGGTGCAAAGGGGACCATTGAACCAAACTTTCAGAAGAAAAAAAAATATTATCTCCTGTTACAAAATCCCACAAAGCTGTGAGTTTCCAGTAATGATGACTTGTATGTGCTGATAAATGTACATACAGTATCAGTTCAAAAAAACAGCTTTATCTCATTCCGTTTTCATGCCTTCCAAATTACCTGTCTCAACAGCTCAACTCCAAACAGTAGCAAGTTCTGAACCACACCCCCCCCAAAAAAAAAACCCAGTATTTTATTAAAAATGGGAATAGGATTTTGTTAAATTTCACCAAATGATTTTGAACGAGTAGAATGTAATTCAAATCCTTAGTTCACATTTCCTGCAGTAAAGACATTTTTGGTGACATCTTGTGGGAAAAATTAGTATTACATTTTGTTTAAAGAAAAACCTCCTCTATAAAAATGATGCATCAGCAATTTACTAATTTACTAAAAATACAGGTAATGCTAAATAATTGCCATTTCTAGTAACAAATGTATGTTACTGTGTACTGTGGTTTAGGAAACAATCTTGCCTTAACTATAACATATACACACCAATTCCTACTTCTTGGAAAAGCTACTTTAAGCACTGTGTCAGAATTGGTTACAGCTACTTCTGGAAAAAATGCTAGTAGATTGGACATTAAAATACTCAAGAGCTAGATACTATCAATCAAAATGTAATTCCTGCATTTGCTTCCTCGTGGTGCATGCAGAAAGTTATGTTTCTCAGAAATAGATTAAACCCACCAAAATGCTGAAGAAAATGGAAGGCCTAACCAGCAATGACACAGAAAAGATGTGTGCACGGCATACCCCACAGTTGATGCACACTACTTAAAGCTGCAAAGTGCCCGACAGTGCAGCGCGCTCTCCGTATTTCACAGCCATGTGAACAGGCAGCCAGTCATTGGAGAGAGGAACATTCCTGGAGCTGGGACCACTGAAGGAGCTGGCAAACCAGAGGAGCACAGAACTGCCCTGGGAACCAGCATCATTAGTTAGTTTTTGTGCCGCTGCACAGAGAGAATGCCCTAGGGCCAGGAGGTCACAGCCTGCCTTGGGAGACAGCAGGCACCTTCCCAGGAAGAAATATCTAAACTTGAAGCCCTTTGCCCCAGGGAGTCCTTCACTTTTATTCTCTTCCCAAACAGGAGATGCCCCATGGAACAGGGATCTGGTTTGAATGCTATCAGCATGCACTGAGCGCTCCTGCTGGAACAAACATTCAGGGAATTTAAACAGGAGAGCAGTTCTTGGGTACTGACTACTCACAGGTGAAAGCCAGATAGACCAATACAGTTCAGAGCCTGACCAAGAACAGAGCTGGCATATCGATACCAAAAGTAAGGCCTGACTATAGCTTAGGGTGCAGTTTAAGACGAAGTCTGCAATTCAAACAAGAGTGAGGGTAAACTGAGCATTTTCATGGTCAGAATTCCACAGTTAAGACTCAGTTAAGCTCCCAAGTTCCCACTCTCTCCCCCTTTTTTATTATCATAATATACATATATACATACACACACACATCTCTAAGTCATTTGGAAAATGCTTACCCACAGCTGAAATACATCAGAGATGACTATTTCTACACTTCAGTAAAAGTGGCCTTTTCACTTTAACATGTAACTGATGTGTTCTTTAAGCTCTTTTTGATATCGTTTTTGATATTGTGGAAACATAGTTTACAAAACTGCATTAAGCCACGTGATTTATCCTTTATGTTCCTGTGAGTATGCAGCACATGGTTTCTTTCAATAAGCCTTTGTTTTCTTAATGTCTTCATACAGCTATTGATTTATATTGTCATGGCTAAAGCTTTCACTTAGTACCCACAATATCTATGCTTTTAAGAATATGGATTTGTTTTTATGACATGCAATACTTTCTTGTCAAATGGTACCCCAAAGTAAACAGTGCATCACTAGTAAAAAACAGTAATTTGGATCTCATCTCCAGCTTTAGAATAAGCTCAGTATATCAATTATTCTGTATCTGCACAGTGCATCCTTCTGCTAATCACAGCCTGGAGAAATAAACTCTCAGCAAGAAAGACAGTGGTTTGATTATTCTCCCAGAAATGCTCCCAGATAACACATTCTCTTTATGAATGAATCTGGAATCACTCATGTTTTACAACCCCAGTCTCGTCCACTCTGATCAGTACAGACCAGCCTGTAGAGTGTTCCCAACGAGTCATCCACACGTGCTGAATCTTCAGCACATAACTGATAAAGACATGTACCTTTGAGGGTCTGTAACCAAACAGCATCACTACAGCGACTTTAAATAAGCTTAAACAGCCTTTGATATTTTCATCACACACTTCAAAAACCTATTAAGAATGTTTACATTAAAAAGGCAATGATTCTGATCTAAAATAAAAGCTTTTACTTATTATAATAGTTAAGGGAAGAATAAAACAGCTACTTACAGAATGATCTACGCTATTTAAAACCAGCTGCAGAAGATCAGTCCTGCTTCAGTTAGAAACCTTATTTTATACCAGCTGAAATTACTACCATTAGTTCAATTACAGAATCACAGAATGGTTAAGGTTGGAAGGGACCTCCTCTATACTTAGATAAGAAATATAGGAAATTAAGCACATAACATGAAGATCTAGTTCTCGTGAGAGACCTTTAGCCTCAGGAGAGCTTCAGCAAGACCTGATAAACCATTAAACATCCTCATATTTGGGGCCTCGAGGAGCGCACGGGCGAGCTGCTTCAGGAAACAGCACGACACACAACCCTGCACGGGAGCCCAGCAGGTAAGCGCTAATGAAGCCGCGGGGACGAGCTTCGTTGGGCGCAGCTTGCTGGTTTGTTAACTGGTAATAAATTACACTAAAGGGACCCCACAGGCTGCCGGGTCCCGTTAGCAGCAGCCGGCTCTGGCGCAGCTCCCCTCTGCCTGGGTTGCGCGCCGCCGCACGATACTGGCGACCCGCGGCGCCGCATGCTGCCTAGCAACCCGCGCGCC